GTATCTCGCCCGCATGGCAAAGCCTGGCAAGCTACCCGTGGCGTATTTGAAATGCCAAACAGTAACAAGTGTCACAATGGAGACATTACTGGGCCCGCTCGAGCCAATCGATGAACAACGGGAGGACTGTGATAATGACGAGTCCCACTCTTCTAATTTCATTCACATCAGAAGAGCCTAAGTATCTCTAAAATAAAAATCTGATTCTACTTCTCACCCATCACTTAGACCGTATCCTCAGGCTAAAGGTCATTCTCCAAAATTCCACTCCGTCTGGATCTCTATAACTAAACTCACTTACTTCTCTAGCTTCAGTCCATACTCCCTTTCATGCTTTATGTTCCACCTACATTTCTTTTTTTCATTTTACCATTTCTGTCCGTCTTCAAATATCCTATTTCCACCCAGAGCACTTTTCCCCAAGCCAACCCTCTAATTACCTACCTCTGGCCTCAGCTTAATCTTTCTCCTCTTCAAATGAAACCATTTGACAGTCATCACCACCTCCCCCACTGATGCCTCCACAGCATGCTGCATTTCACATGCTATTCTAAAGAGCTACTCAACTGAGCACATTCCCCTGGCTATATCAGCTACAAAGCCAGGAACCATGTGGATCCTGTCTGATGCTGTTACCACAATGCCTTGCACAGATGAATATTCTGCACAAATAAGTAAATAACATTCTCCCAGATCACATACTGTAACTGGCTGTGCTAATGAAATCTTCAAATTTAGTCCTCACTCCTGTGACTCTCCATCAGCTCAAGGCCTTCCCTGCTTGCCATGTTCCTTTGAGTCCTCTTTCCCCTTCACGTCATCCCCTATCTTCGGTAAATGAGCCCCTTTCATGGGACAGCTGTCTTACTGCCCAACTCAAGGCGGGAAGCCCTGTACAAGACAAACCAGGCACTTCATACTTACCAAACCAGAACCCAAATCAGAAGAACCTCTGAAAAGAGCCATGCAGATCAGAGATGGCGGGGTGTTGGTGAGAATACCAACACGACCTCTGCAACACAAAGCAGAGAGCTAGAATCCCAGCCAAGACAAGGTCCTCAGAAAGCCAAGATCTCAGGAAGGTCCTGTGTAAGCAACCTGCTCTAACAACTCAAAAGCTAGCACTTATACCCCTTTCAGACACAGCAGGGAAAAAAAAAAAAAGAAAGAAAAGAAAAACCCTGGGGGCCCAAATAACACAACACTAGGCCGGGAAATCCCTCAAAGCACACAGGAATTCACCAAAGTGGCCTAACCAGATTCCACCTCCACTGCCTGTCAGGAGCAAGGTCAGGACCTCTGCTGAGTAATTTGGGCTCAAGTTGTGCTCAGGGAAGTTGTGTAGTCTTCCCCACAGAGACATCAACTTCCTTCCTAATCATGGACAGCTTTTGGTGAAACTGAGGGAGCCAAGACCATTTTCACTCTGCCAAGAATCTGAGGCTGCGCAGGGGAACTCCAAGAGTCTCTCAGTCTGGTGCCTCTGTCCTCCCATACCCTATGTCATAAACCAGATGGAAATACTCCTATTTTCTGGAATCCATCTTTGTCCCACTGCTCCCTCTAGAATCTAGAATCTAGAATCCTTTGGCGTCGTGAAGATCAACAGAGAAATCCTATCCCATCTTCAATGGGCCTCTCCATTTACCACCTGCTCTGAAAACTCTTCATTCGTTTCGGTACTCAGTGCATGATTTCCATGGATTTGCCAGAGCTCTTTCATGGTGCTCATCCCATTTTGGCATGAGAAAAGAACAATGGCTTAGTCATCTACCTTCCATGTCGCCGGAAAATCTGAACTGCTTCATTTCTGCTGAATGAATTTGTCATAAACGGTTTCACACTAAATGGGATTCCACTCTCAGTCCGGCCTAGTCAGTTTTCTGCTGGAGGGAAACTGCCCTCACCTTTCTGCAGGACTGCACAAAGCACAAAGGCTGGAACCAGAAACAATGTGGGCTCCTGCTTCTCCAGGTGGACATGGGCAACGTTTCCATGAAGTTCCCGGTGCAGAGAGGCAGGGACTATTGATCAATATCCAACGGGTACTAAAGTCATAATGCAAAGACGATCCTTGTTTCTCCTACACAATTTAGGTTTAAGGGGAAAAGAATCCTTTTTTTTTTTTTTTTTTTTTTTTTTTGCTCACACCCAGCGATGCACAGGGGTTACTCCTGGCTTTGCACTCAGGAATCACTCCTGGCGGTGCTCAGGGGACCATGTGGGATGCTGGGGATCAAACCCAGGTCAGCAGCGTACAAGGCAAACACCCTACCCATTGTACTATCACTCAGCCTCTTAAGGGAAATATTTAAATCATTCTTCTAATGAGTTCTGACTTTGATAGGAACTCATTGCAGTTTATCACCCAAACAGACCCATAAAAATTGAGCAACGTGAGAAAACACGGAAACTTTGGACTATCTACAGCAATGCAGTGTTATCTGTTGAGGAGAAAGAGAGAGAGCGAGAGAGGGACACAGATGTAGCAGTCAAAAAAAGCTAAAATGACCAAAAGATTTTCAGGGAAGGTGTAAATCAAAATTGGGTATCTGGAAGGAAAAGAAAGGAAAATATAATTCACAGCTAAGAAAAAGACTGCTATAGATAGGTTTAACATAAAATTTTTAACAGATTTAAAGTATTTATTTAGGATCAACCAAAAAAATGCTCTCTTAGGCAAAATATATTCAGGTAATAAGAAAATATCTCCCCAGAATGTAATTAAGGCTAAAACGTTAATTATTTTAAGAGGAATCTATGTATATCTAATGTAGACTACTTAGAAGATCCAATCTGTGGTGCATATTTCACTAACTCCATGAGGAAATGAGACACACACACAAAGCATTCCTGCAGCATATCAGAGTATCATGGCTATACTGAAAATTACAGTGTGCAACTGAAAGTCACACTTGAAATAACCATTTTTATTTTTAATGGAGCATCATTTTTAACAGAGAAATCCTATCCCATCTTATAACCAGTTATTTAATCTCCTGTATTTGACCTACATTTTCCAAATAATGAACAAATTGAGCCTGACACATCAAGAAAAACTGACAGTATTTGTTGCCAGGTACAAAATTCAAGCATTTAAATACAATTATGACAAACTTTTGGAAACCACTTCTAATATTTAAGGGCTAGGAAAGATCAGAGATAGACTTTTAAAATTTTTTGCTACTACATAACACTGGAGGTTCAGTTTAACAAGTTGATTTTACTTCGTAAATTTTGATTTTTACTCTGATCTAAAAGTTATTAATTATATGACATATATTATATTAATTAATTATATAAAAGTTATTAATTATATTTTTAAAAAAGAAACATTTTTCTCCAAAATTTCTGAATCCAAGGTTTGATAAAATGACATCCCATAAAGATGTCTGACCTTTAAAGAGCTGCATGAAAAGGTAGAAACAGCTGCAGATAAAATATGATGAACTTCCAAAATGGCAGAGGAGTTTAAGAAAAGCCTGCTGACTATTTTGGCTAATGACTTTTAAACCCACTGAGCTAGCATGTCATTTCTAATACATGCTTAAAGGGAGTGTTTTATTTAGCCCAAAGAAAAGACTGCAGTAACGGAAAATACTATGTTAAAATATTCATACCACCTCAAATGTAATCTCAAAGTTCTATATTAGGATACAGCAAGGCCTCAACAATCATATATTCTCAGACTCATGATCCAAGCTTAGACATCTTACTTGAAATAAAAGCTGACATCTTACAGTTAGGAAAAAGTCATGTGGCAATGGTAATTTTGTTTTAGAAAATGAAACTATGTCCATGAGACTTCCACCCACATCCCACAACAACTCACTCAATCTCTCAACACCCAGGAATGCCCTAATTATTCCACCTCAGAATTCTGCAGGTGTCTCCACTCTGTTAGAGGCCTTGCATCTCTAGCTCGGCAGTAAAAAGACACTGGGTCAAAAGACTACTCCAACCTAGAAAGAACTGATGGAAGATGCACACGGCTAAGTAATTTAATGTTGAATCCAGAAGAACCAGAGGGAATTGGAAATGTGACGAGTTTTAATAGCCACATAAAGTTCCTAATTGCCTAAGGAATTAGTATATTTAATAACGAAGCCAATTCCAGTAAATTACACAAAAGTGTACTTAGGCCCAAAGACCAAAATTGATAAATGGGTTAAGTCAGCGGGTAGGGCGCTTGCCTTGCACGTGGCCAATTTGGGTTCGATCCCAGGCACCCTAGCTTGTCAAGAGTGATCCCTGAAAGCAGAACCAGGAATAAGCCCTGAACACCGCCAGGTGTGGCTCCCCCACCTCCCCCCAGCCCCCCACCGCAAAAAAAAAAAAAAAAAGCTTTAAACTATAGGCTAGCCTACATAATTAGTACTTGAATCCCTATCTCAGAAACCATCCTAACAGGTAGCCTAGTCTGTCTGCCCTTGAAAAAGCACACCCAAGCTGAGGAAATCGGAGAGCACTGTTTTACAGGACCACCCTTCCCTCACAGATCCCCGAAGTGTGCCGCAAATGTTCACTGACCCCATTCTCGGAGGAGGGGGGGGCGGGGGGAGTGACCTAGAACACCTGACCATGCACGTTCTTGAACTCGAACGCATTCCTGGGTGTTTCCCCATCAGAGTCCTACGACCAGTTATTCCTATCTGAAGGTGTTGGCACCCCACTATGATTAAGCATTAAATTTAAGCCTGAGGACTCGCTGTTCTATGAACCAAGCTGCCAAGAATGCCCTCATCAGATTTCGCTCCGTCCGCTCACTGCAGCCTGCAAGAGAGTGAAACGTGCAAGAACGAAAGTCACATCCCCCGAGCCGTGCCCCCGAGCGCTCCACCGGGCTCGTCGGAAATAACCATTTCCCGTCCCAGCGCTCCCCGCCCGGCCCCCGTTCCTCCTGCGCCCCGGCCCCCGAAAAGTCACCTCCCGCATTTCCTTGGTGGGGGGTGGGGGGAGAGGAGGATGACCGGGCAGGGAGGGTGTGTCTGGGTGCTTACCGATGCCCGGAGCCACGTAAATGAAGTAGAGACAGGACGAGGAGAGGGAGAAGAAGAAGATGAAGGCGAGGAGGGAGCGATTGGAGACCCGCAGCATCCGCCTGGGCACGGACATCTTCCTCTTCCCGGCCTGCCCGGCAGCGGCGGGTGGGCTGCGCTCTCAGGTCGAACTTGGTGGGGGGCCCACTTCGGGCCCTAAACTTCCATGGATGGGCTCAGAACGCCAAGAGACTGCAGCCAGCCGGGTGGGCGCGGGGCGGCTCCGGAGTGGGGGGGAGCGGGGCCCGGGCGGGAAGGAAGGGGAGCGGATGGAATGAATGGGGAGGCTGGAGGGCCGGGGGAGGGGAGGGGAGGGGAAGGGAGAGAGGCGCAGGAGGCAGGAGAGGGAAGGCGGTGCGGGGGCCGCAGCAGCGCCGGGGACCCCGAGCCCCAGGAGGCCGGGTTGGCGGGGAGGTTGGGAAAGAAAGGGCCCGCCGAGTGCGGCAGGCGCCGGCTCCCGGGCCGGGCTGCCTGCCGAGGCGCAGGGAGCGCAGCCCGCGGCGCTCAGGGGCGCGCCCGCCCGCGCACCGCAGGCCTGCACCGCCTCCCGGCCGCCGCGTCTCGTGCCTGCGCGGGGCGAGCGTGGGCGCCGGGGCCGCAGCCGGCGCGCGCGGCGACGCGCGGGGGCCCGCCGGGGCCCTGGGGGCCGAGGTTTCGCTGGGCGCTCGCCGGCGCGCAGCCGCTCCTCATGCCGCGCCGGGCCCCGGCGCCCCGCGGCGGCCGCGGGAGCCGAGCGCGGTGGAGGGCGGCGTCCCGGGCCGCCCGCACCCGCGCAAGGGCGGCAACCGCCACGGCATTACCGCCGCCCGCCCGAGTCTCGGGCGCCGTCGGGGCCGCGTGGGGGTCCGCCGGAGAACGGGAGGACGGGGCCGCGACGGGGGTTGCCGCGGAGGAGAACCCCCAGCCCCCGCGAGGGCTCGGCGCGCGCGCTCGGAACTGCAGGCGGCGCTGCGCCCGCCACCGAGGGAACCTGGCGGCCCCCGCCCACCCCCTCCCCAGCCGGCGCCCCGAGCACCGCGGCTCCCGATTGGTCGGCGCCGCCCCCTCCCCCCAAACCCTGCCCCCCTCCCCCTGCGCCGGGACCCGGGACGCTTCCTGCGTCACGGTCGCCCCCGCCCCGCTGGAGACCCCGGTGCTCACCGCGCCTTTGCGGACTCAGGCTCAGGTCGGGAACGTCCCCCTTCTGCTCATCCCTGCAAGGAGCCCTAGTGAAGGACGACGGTACCTGGGAAGGGAAGGGTCATCGCCAGGAGTCAGAACCACCCTCCACCCCCCCCCCCCACCACCACCTCCAGGGTGTCAATTTCTTCCCCAGATTCACGCCCCAGGGAGAAGGGCTATTTTCGCCCTGGATTTGTGAAACCTCCCTTCGCGCCCAGTCTCTGAGACACCCCGTCACAATAGGAGCGGGCTGTATGTCTGTCTGTCTAGTCCTTATAATTAGTGTCTTCCCATCTGGAAGGGAGCCCACGGCTCGTCCTGTCGTAGCTGCGTCCTTCAGGCAGATCCGGGAAGGACTGCAGCCTACAGGCCCTTGAACGCTGCAGCACCGGCCCGATTCTGTGGGCGAATTGTTATTCACCTCCCCAGGCCCTTTCAACTAGTTCTACTCTAGTTCGCAAGCGGCTCCTTCCTGCCAGCTAAATTAATCCAGATCCTTGCCTGATATGATAAAATGATAGATCATTTTATTCGGGGAGGGGGGTGCACCCACGTGTTTCTTTGTTAATCAGGTAGGAAGCTAGATACCCTCAAGATTTAGCCGGTACTTCTAGATGTCATGGTATTGAGACATCATCACTGCATTTACAAGCGGTTTTGCCACCTTCAAAGCAAGATACCACCGGTGCCATTTTCTCTGGGATGGTACTATGCCTCAACACCTGGGTTTTCCATTCCACTGAGGCTTTTTATTAATTGTGAAATTCATGCCAATCTACCACCTCAAACTTCTTTTTCCTTTAATGGTGGCCATGCAAAGCTGTGACATTAAACAGGACAACTGAGTAAAAAACTGAGCATAATATCTGGTTCATTTCATGGAATAGACACATATGTCATATCACAGTAATACATGATTCCTTTAGTTGACTGGATATTCATTTTTAATATTTTGCCTTTTGGGGTACTTACAAGTTCTCTGGGTAATTTGATAGTTAATGTAAGAGAAAATGACTACTTTATAACATTCTTAGCTTCTTAAGGAAAATCTGAATTGCAATCTGGAATACCATTAAATAGCAGATAAGCCTCAAGCAAAAGAAATCCATGAATGGTAAGGAAGCAAAATAGTGGTGTTTCTTTCCCAGACCCTGCTGATGTTTCATTTCTTCATTCGCACCCGCTCAGTTATTTGTTTGCAAAGCTACCATTCTCCATGCCACCTGCTTGGAGAACTCCCTACCTTAGCCAGCTTAGGAATGGATGAATCTTCTCAGGCAAAACTGGGTTTCTAACAGGAACGTGTACTATAAAACTAAGAGGAAAGTGTGAACATCTTAGAAGTAGAACTATTAATCATACTTTGGAAAATCTGAAATCTATAGATGTGCCTGGCTGGCATAGATAACTACCATTGGTACATCTTATGAATTCACCACAGTAACTGTTGTTACTGACAGTTCTTCTTCTAAAGGGTGTACCCCACGAAAGCAGTTCACTAAATGTATCCTGGCAATGGTTATCAGCAGGTACATAGAGAAACAGCCTGGGTAAGGTAGAGTCCCAGACACTCAAAGATGACTTATGCATCCTGTGCATCTGTTCCCCTATCAGCAAAAGAAGGTCATTATGCTGCCTACGAGAGTTTCTGGCGAAAATAGGTTAAATGAGTTGAGGCCTCTGAAGGGCTGGGGAGAGGGGCTGGAGAGATAGTTCTGCAGGTACGGTGCTTGCCTTTCATACAGCCCTCCCAGGTTTCTTCCCCTGATACCACATATCCCTGAGTGGTCCCTGAGCTCAGAGCCAGGAGTAAGCCCTGAGTACCTCTGGGTGTGTCTCCCCTCCCCCCAAACAAACAAAAAATCAGTATTTGTTTTGATATCACAAGAGAAGGATATCAAGAACAGGGAAGAGTCAAGCTATTATCAGCCCAGTTAATGGCTTTCCAACACTAGCTTCCATTTTCACACAGACTACTTTGCCAATTGGGAAAATGGTTTATTATGATTAAGTACATTCTAATTTCTTTCTATAAGCAGATGTATATTATCTTTTAACTTTTTACCAACTTTGACTCAGACATCTGTGTCAGGAATTCTATAAATAATACTATCTGGTACTTAAAGTGAAGGCCCAACTATCTGCTTCTTGCGTATAATCAGTTGATAAGTTTCCTTCTTCATTCTTTGCCTCAGCTTACTGCTGGCTTGAAGCAACAGATAGTGTTGCAGTGAAGGGAATCTGAGCTGCCAGACAGTAAGCCCTGACTGGCTCCAAGGCTGTCTGGAAAAGGAAATCTTGCCCAACTGAGGGCAGAATGAGAGTGTGCGCAAAAGCTCTGACGTTGGAAGGCAAGGGAAGAAATGATAAAGAGCGAAGGCACAAGACAGAGCAGGAGTCTGCTAATAGCAGTACCTTGGGCCTGCCATGGAAAGGGGTGCTTGCGGACAACACCAGAACAAGGCTGGAAAGCTGTCTCTGCTTGCTTGACGCTCCCACCAGGGCCCCCTGCAGACTTCTAGAGACTGCAAGAAACCAAAGTTTCCACATACCTGTAACCCAGCCACACAAGGACCTTGGTGTGCGTCTCCAGCCAAGCCCTAAGAGGAAGTGCATAAAGCAGGTTGCTGGACAGACAGACAACATAGTAGCCACGTTCCAGAGTGCTCTTGAATTGTCAGTCCTGGCTAACTCTGAGATGCCTTTCTTCCTGAGCTACATAGCCACAATTGTGGAGTTGTTTTTTTTTTCTTTTTGGGTCACACCCAGCAATGCTCAGGGTTTAGTCCTGGCTCTGCATGCAGGAATCACTCCTGGCGGTGCTTGGGGGACTATATGGGATTGAACCCGGGTCAGCCGCATGCAATGCAAATGCCCTACCCGCTGGACTATCACTCCGGCTCCAGGAGTTCTTATTTTCTGGGTTTGTTGTTGCGTTTTTGTTTTGTTTTGTTTTGCCTTTTTTAAGGGGAGGATGAGAGGCTCAGACAATTGACTTGCACTCAGCTGCCCACAGTTTGATCCTTGGTACCAGGAGTAATCCCTGAGCATAGAGCTAGGGATCGCCTATGAGTACCACCAGGCATCACTCAACCCTCCTCCTCTCCCCAAACAGCAAAAAGGAGGAAGGGTCCAGGAATAGAGATGAAGAGGCTGGAACACAAGCCTTGCATGTACCAGGCCAAGTTCAATCCCTGATACCTCATACCCTCCCATCCCACCCCACCCCAGCACCCACATGTGACCCAGCTCGACTCAATAACTGCTGAATGAGCACATTCTCACATAGGGTGGGGTAGGGGAATGGAGGAAATTCCACGAACAAGTGGGGAAGTCCCCCCAAAAAACTCTATCTGACACAGTTTTATAAAGAATTCAGTTGCTATGGTACCACTTGCTATAATCAAAATATCCTATCCTCTCGTTTAATTTTTTAAGAAGTCATTTTCTGAACACAGTTCTCCTTTGAATAGGAGAATAAGCAAATGTTGAATAAACACTCTCTTTTAATTCTCGTTTTTATTTAGGGGAATCGGGTTCAGGTCAAACCTGGTGGTGCTCAGAGCTTACTCCTGACTCTGTTCTCAGGGGACCCTGTGTGGTTTCAGGGGTCAAACTGGGGTCGGCTGCCTGCAAAGCAAGTGCATTACCCCCCTGCATTGTCTCTCCAGCCCCGAATAAGCACATTCCTAGCCTTGTACATAACTGTGGTAACTGTGTATATTCCTTTGAATTTAGTATAATAAGAAGTACTAGTTTGTTTACCTTAACTCAGAGCATTTTACGAAACCATCATCCTAGGTAAAGGGCTTATAAAAGTAGCAGATAAATTATATAGATCCAAGGTCATTTACGGTTGTTCTTTTATCAGATCAAGAATTTTTATAGATGTGGTAGGAAAAAGCAACACAAGAAATGGAATCCTAATACTGAGTAACAATTGTAGCCATACCTGGAGCGCTCCTGTGGCGACCAGGTGCCAAGAATCACTCAGAGCATTGGGGCTGGAGCAATAGTACAACG